TTCCACTTATATGCCCACAGTGAAAATGAGTATCCTTGCAACAAGGATGCCCCCAAACGGGCACACTACTGGTTCAATAGGGAGTTTAATATATTGGGGTTATATGTAGGTATAATGGAGAAGAAAATGGAAACTACAGGGATTATAGGGTTTATATAGGGGTTATATGGGGATTACATTGAATCATATGCTCCGGCTCGCTGAGCCGGCTGCATTATTGAAGTGCTCGCGCTGAAAGGCAACCAAAAAGCTGTATCCTTGATGCATAACACAGCCGCGTCTTTCAATCTCGTTCCTGGTGAATAAGTCCATGTAATGACATTGTTGCATGCACTGCAATATCGAATTTGTATTCCATGCCCCTCACTGCGATCACGTGTCGCAAGTGGCTGTGGTGCGACGCTGTTATGTTGCAACTAGCTAACTGAGTCCGGGGGGCAGGCACAATTGGGCTCCGAAATGTGGCCCCAAGAACCAAGGGCTTTAAAGACGTGGCCAGCATCAGCATGAGGCACATGCATGTAAGAAACCGCTACCTGCCATTCTCCCTCAGCATTGAGAGCACAACCTCCGAAATCTCCGCTCGTAGGATCGGCGTTAGATAACATGAGCTCAGTTTGAGGTGCCCTATACAATGATTATACGGAATCTGGAACCCTGATTGTGGTTATGATGTAGACTTCTATAGTAGGCCAAGGGACTGGGAATAACTATGTGATAATCAGAACATAAGCCACAAATATAACCACAGTTGCAGTAATACGGATGAACATGTTAATGATAAAAAGAAGTCATCACAATAGGAAACTTCAGATACTAACCTGCTAGCTGCTTCCCGGCCCACCTGAACACTCCACACCAAGCATCCTGAATGCAACAACGCCAGACCTAGCTTTCCTTGGTTGGCCTTTAGACACCCTTGAAAAATGTGAGTATAAAGTGGTCCCTATAAACCCAACAAGGGAAAATAATTAAGGAACCCAAAGGCCTACCCAGTTTCCGTCCAAGGCATGAAGAACCTTTAGTTTTCTCTGAAGGCTTCAGTCTCAAGTTCACTTTCACCTGCGCTCTGAAGATTCTGCTGAAGAATCTGGCCACATTCACGTCCATCAACGTCCAGATCCAGCATCCTATCACTTTGCTACAGTCTTATGATGAGTATTCATTGTATTGTTAGTATTATTACTATTCCAACTACTGACTTGCAGCGAAGCAGCTGCACGCGCTACGGCATATGCAATCTGATCATCCAAGGAGGAGAGATCCACGACCCCACCTGAGGCAGTATGATTATCAGCACTAGTAGTCATAGTAGTCCTTTTGGGTTTGAAGTTTAGGGTTCAGGTTTATTACCCACTCAATTTCCATGCCCTTGCGGCATGTCTCGGCAGGGTACTCGAAGGTATAAAGTATTCTGCTTCATGGGTCCACGTATGGCAGTTTGCCAAAATCATGGAAACCCGAGTATAATAGATCCCCAATTACTATCATCCTTACAATAAGGACTCCCCCCAAAAAAGGTATTCCGAATTTTGCTGATCCCCCATATCAACTCTTGGAGCCTTAGCCAGTACGCTGGGTGAGGGCTCCTTCGCCCAAACCCTAAACCCTAATCCTCAAACCCCGTACTCAAATTAAACCCTGAACCTAAACCCTAACCAAATCTGACGGGCAGTCTTGGCTGGAAGAGGGTCAGACTGTGTAGGCAGAAGGTGAAATGTATTCACCAAAGCTTACTAGGGGTCAGTAAGGAATAAGGGTATTGTATATATATATATATATATAACACATACATATATATATATGTAGTGATTATATAGTATAGTCCCTCATTCCCACCAACCCCCAATGAGAAAAGACATGCTGAACATCCGAAACTTAAATCTCTGAAATGTCAACTTTTGGAATCCCCCTAACAACACCTTGCAGGGTAACAGCAAGCTACTCAACGTCCAAACGTTCCCAACCCGCACCGCGCCTAAAGGAGGGGTCATGACACCAGTGACCTGCAAAGAAGGTTTGTGGTTCACATGGACCTTCAAGGTACGGTGGATACCAAAATTCCTGCATGACCCTAAATACCTCATACCTTGGAAAGGATAGCACCATGGTCTAGCAAGGTCATGAAGGACTTGTCGTATCAACACTATGGAGGAGACTGGCCTTGTTGACGACTGTTTGGGCCATGGCTCTACTTTTGCGGTCCAGGTATGCTTGGCTGGATCATTGGCTATGTTGTTCTACTTGGCGGCAAACTCCAACAAGTTCACGCACTCACCTCTGCTCTTACATCTCCCACCGATCCTCCAAGCGTTGCACAATCACATGCAAAGCAAACGGAATGTAGAAACTCATCTCTTAACCCTAAACCCATTAATCGCTAAACTCTAAACTTGAAGCAGCGTTATCTGGAAACCCTTTGAGGAGTCCATGAAGAACTTCACGGTACGGCCCACATGCGTTATGCTGGCTGAGTCTTAAACAAGTCTATAAGTTGCCAAAATCAGGCTCCAATTCGTGCTGCTACTACCTGACCTGGCCTGATTCTTGGAGTTGATGGTAGAGATGCGCTCCTTGTTGGCTTCCAGAACCTTCCTGGGTATGTCCATCACTTTGATGATGGGGCTCTGGATGCGCATTCAAGCTTCTCGCGTCTCAGTTATTGTAAACTGCTTGCGGGAAACATTACATGCCGTACCCAAGCAGTCCCCTCGCAACAGCCATATAATGATACATAAGATATTTGGGTTGTATGTAGTATAACATGTATATACAGATATGTATATTATCTCTTATATATTCTTCATATCGTACAGGTGGTCTGGCAAATTTTTACGCAGTGCGACCTAGCGAGCGAGATTGTTTGCACCCGTGAAAGACCTGGGCATCTGAATTCCCCCTCTATGGCCCAAACAAGCCGTGATGTTAATGAATTTCCACACCAATGAGAAAGTGCAGCTTGGCATCATGAAGGGGTCCTCCTTCTCCTTGGGCATTGGTATGCAGCCGTCTGGTGCAATGATGACTCTTGCTTGTTTGCATCAAAGATCCTGTGCCTGTCTCGCTTGGGGTTGGTAGGGACAGAGCCCTACACCCTAAACCCTAATGAAAAAAATGGAAAGAACATGGAAGCTACAAAGCTGCTACATTTTAATGGGGCACATATTGCGATACATATTGCACAGCCTCCCCGAGACCTGTACCTTCACCCGTGCACAAAATCCTCTGCTTGTTTGCAGGCAGGCGTCGACCAATCCGCCCTGGTCCTGTCCTAGGTTGAGCAAAGCTCAAGACATTTCAAAACACCCTAAACCCTAAACCCTCCACAGCAAACATCATCAATGCACATTATTAATTCAGGCTCTTTGAGGAGGCTGCTCGCCCCACCCGCAAGATTAAAAACGTCCAGCAGCCATTGCAATTAGATTGCATAATGCTGACCATCTTGGGGTGTGGGCCACCGCAATGCTTTAGCAGTTTCCAACACTCAGCAGACCCGAATCCCATAAAAGTGCCTCCCCACAAAGACCACCCCACCATCAGGAGAGCTTAGGGCCGAGTTGCGTGGGATTAGGATTGGGAGAAGCTCTGCCTAAGATTTGGTAGTTTCCCAACATAAGGGAACCCCAATATAGACCCTAAGATACTATAATCTTTATTATAGGGACCCCCACGAAGGTACCCCTAATTTTGGGAAACCCCCATAACCCTAAACCCTAAACAGTGGCTTCCATTGTTCCATTATCCAAATATAACCCCTATGTAACCCTAATCTTCTACCTACCAAAAGGGGGACTCTACCCTAAGCCCTATCATCCCATTATAACCTTGGTAAAGCCCCCAAACCCTAAACTAGTTTTCTTGTCCAGCATCCCATGTTCATCTTTTCCGTGCTCCACCGACGCTGGACCGCATCGACGAGCCTGAGGTGGAATAGCTTTCCGATGCCCATGGGCGTAGGGCTTAGCCTTTAGGATATAGGTTTTAGGGTTTAGGGCTTAGGGTTTAGGATATAGGGATTATATA